ATTGCCAAGGCTCAAAATATAAATAGCAACCCTCGTAATACCTGACGAACATGGTCGTTTTTTCATTCCAACGAAAATAATTCCATCCATACAAGTAAAGGAAGGTAACAATTTTTGCGTATTCTCATTGCTATCTAACATAGAAACTATCTCTCCTACAGTCTTTTTCCTCTCAATAATCTCATTAATGCTAAAAAATTCTGTGCTCAGTTTTTCCAATAAATTTACATCGAAAATAGCGTCATGAGCACCTTCCGAAGAAAGACACAAGAGATCAGCTGCCAAGGTAGTAAGTTTATACCCGTTTTTTCTTTTAGGGTATTTCTTTTTAAATAACGCTAATGAGTCACTGAAATCTTCAAGGACCTCTTCATAGTCTTCAAGCAAGCTCACATTTTTCAAACTTAATATTAGTCGACTAGAATCGAAAGTGCAATTATATGCAACAAATAAACACTTTTTATTTAAACTTCGTAAGAAAGTCAGCAGCTTTGTGAAAACTAATTTTTGAGGCATAGTTTCAACTTCAACTCCATTTTGAAATAATTTTTTATGAACTTTAGTAAGACCATTTATTTTTGATGCTGTTGGATTTATTGGTTGTGTAGGGGTTATAAATGATTTGAAAACTTGCTGTCCAAACTTCACACATATTTGCACAATCGTGCTTCAACCTCAATCCAGCAGTTTCAAGGTCAAAAATTAAAATAGCTACGGTGCTGGTTTCGAAAGTATTTGAATCATAAGCTAATACTTCTATGTAACTTTTGTCATTGTTAGGAGATTCATCTAGTAAAGCCATGCCTCCCTCACTATTTTCTTTTCGATATTTTAGTTGAGATCTTTTTGCCTTCAAATCTAATCTATTCATTTTAAAAGCTGGTGTAGAAGCTTTTTGTTTTCTGGCTAGTGAGATTTTTGTACTTTTGATAACATATACATTCAATAGTTTTTTATGAATAATACCAGCTTGATCCAAACATCTTTGTAAGTACGACACTTCATAATTTTTCTGAGCCACAGTGGCACTAAATCTGTAGTCGGTAGATTCCGATGTACAATATATTAAGCCTTTTGGATTTTTGCGACACATGGAATTATTGAGGCTTTCATTTGCTTGACTACTCGCTGCACCGACAAATTTGGAAGTGTTTGCCGACAAATCATCAAACAACTTTTGTAAGTTTTCAAATAACGTCGAATCCTTCAAAGTAATACTGTTTGCATTTTCATTTTCATTTCTACTTTTACACCAATCCCCACAATTTCGGTGCATATCAAATAAGTGGTAGGGTATATTTTCCAAGGCATTTTTAATTCCATTAACATTTTTTTTATTTTGATGGATAGCGTAACTGAAATAACGTTGGATGTGTTTGATTACATCACCTGTCAATTCGTGAGCCGGGTCTGATATCTTTTTTAGCGTATACAGCATGCTTCTTACATTGTTGGTGGAGTGATTCATGTCTGATAATTTTACAATATTATAATCGATCACATTTTGTATCTATGAAATACTACAGCTATCATTGTTACCAATGAAAGCGCCAATTTGTACGTTATTTTCTTTTAATATTCGACTCTTAGTAACTAATTGGATAGCTCCATCAGATTCCATTGCTTTGGCACTGCCCTTGAAATTTTTTCTGCAATCATGCAACACCTTCTTTCCTGTGTAAAGCTCAGAGTCACAATAGCGGCATTTACGATTCCTCGTGCAATAGTCTAGAACCTTTCCAGTTTTCAAGCCTATTAGAGCACAGTAACCATTCAGACTATCATACGTGCGACCATTTCCTCTCTGACCCCAGCCCATGTCAAATGATGCAAAAACTCTGACAATGCTGCTACCATTATTATCAACATTAACAATCAAGTACCCTTTTTGCAATTCTTCTGGCCTAACAAAAAAATGAAGGTAAAATAACAAAAAAAAATTTTTTATCTTTTGTATCTCAATTTTTTTTGTGGAAATTTATTCCAAATCATCAATAATTAAATATGAATGTTTACATGTTTCTTTGAATTTAAATTTTATAATATACTATTAATTCTTAAAATTATTGTCGTATTGTATATAACGTAAACAGATCTCATAACTTGATTGATTTGCATGCAATGCACTAAGAAAAATAAAAAAATCAAAAGCTATTATCTTAACAAAATATAAAATTGATTATAAATAAAAAATCACTGTAAATAATAAATAATAAATCAATTAGATGTTGTGACGGTAAACGTCAAATTAGCGCTAATTACCTAACCTAGTAGCTGCCTGCGGCGGCAGCACTTACCCGTAGACGAAAAATGTAACGAAATATGTAACAGAAAAAAAGCAGACGGAACGCGCGCGATTGAAAACGAGGCAGTGGAGAACCAGCTATCGGTGCGGAAGCCAGAAAAGTCAAGGTTCGCGAACCAATTGCCGATACGTGTACTAGAGTCCAGGATAATTGTCACCGAGCTACACGGCTTGCAGACCTGAGCCAGCCGAAAAAGCAGCAACGTTACGTGCGGCATCAAGAGTGTGTGTGTGGGGTTTCGCCATCGAGGGCGAAACCACGTGCGCGCGAATTCGCGATCCACGACAAAAAGAACAATCAGACTTTCCCGCAATGCGAATTGTTCCCTTCGTCTTCGTGCGTCTGCAAAATAAAGGTAAACTGGCCAGCTTAATCTTGCGACCGCGATTGCATGCATGTTAATTAATCTTCCGTATTCGATGTGAAGCGTGCATGTAATAGCTCTACGGACAAAGAGCAGCGAGCGTTCCGACACTGCATGTTGTTGTCGAGCGAGCGCCGATGTAAACATACACACGTGGGCAAATTCTAATGTAGCATTTGAAAGATAATAAAGAGTTTTCGTTCGTGATGTTAACAAGTACTTTCGACGTGTTTGTTCCGTATTGATTCCACTCCTGTAGATTCGTAGATTTGTTGGTTGACTGACACTCGTTCCCTCTTGCTCTCCGACTTTCTTATTTGATATAGGTGATTGCGAGCGTATTTACGCGATCGCCTCAATAAAATTAATTAAACGGTAAGCAACCCTGTTACAATGTATAAATTATCATTTCATTTAATAAGTCGTAGAAGAAATCAATAGTAAATAATTGATTGGTTTGGTTGTAACTGATAGTTATTCAAAAATAAAAATCACTACGATTACTTTAAATTCACTTATAAAATTGACTCTCAATGAAGTTTCGTTGTGCAATTGGTAGAGCGTAAAATGTTTATAATTAGCTTACAACAACTTCTTTAATTCTTTTATGCTTTCAACAGTAAGTAACCGTTCCATGGCAGTTGCCTCTGTGCAGCTTTCTTTTGCCACAGCTTCTACAATAGGTCCAATAATTCTTTCATGAGTTTTAAAAGTATGTGAATCAACTGTTGACAAATCCAATACACTAAAAAACTTGGTGATATGAGTCTCACCGACGCCACTATGAATGGCAGCTGTAAATACGCATTACAAATCAATCTCACAAAAAACTACACACTTTATTGTTACATTGTTGATGCATGTCATAAGAATTAATACATACCTAATGCAAGTTTGGTATTGATGGCGAATACACTTTTCCCAGTGACTGGATTTGTGTATTCATCTCCAGTTTTCAGCGTATTCACAAGCAAGTAGTAATGACATCTAATACTAAAAATTGAAGCTGCACCTTTTATAGTCTCTTGCTCAATATATTGTAAATCCAGCCTTGTATTACACATAGTGCAATTCATATTTTTAGACATAAATGCCAAGTCGACTATACGATTTCCTTGCAAGTTGCATTTCACCTCTGTAGGATCTATCTCTTGAATTTTTGTACAGCCTTTTCTTCTTTTTCCGCATTCAGTACGTTGTAGCATTCGCTTGTACTGTTTTTTGCTTGCAAACTTGCCTTTCCATCGATACTTTTCGCAGTTTTCGTGAGACATAATAAATAATAGGTGTTTCGATACAATCACAATATAAACAATTGGAGGTTAGGATAGGTACACGCAGCTGCTCAAACCGCCTCGTGTCGTGTCACTCATCTGCTCTGTGCACGCATGCGCAGTGCAGACAACTTAAGAAAAATAAATTTCGAAGTATGCTATGTTGCCAGATCGTTACCTCCAATTCGTATTTTCATAATTCAAATAAAAACATAAAAATTGACGACTAACGCATATTAGGAGTAGATACTTGTGATGAATGTTCAATTCTCATCATTCTTACCAGTTCATACTCATCTAAGTACAATAATACAGAACATTGAATTCAGTTATCTACAGTTTGCGCCACTGATTTCATCCAATGTTAAAGCATAGGCACTTTCCCCTTACCCCAACCCCCCTGGTGACTGTCCCGAACCTCCTTAATAACGTATTGATAGAACAGAAGATACTGCTCAATCATCGGTTCATAAAGATGAATAATTAGAAATAATTAGAAACAAACATGCTACAGTGGAGCAAATAAACGAAATCACCTCTACAGTCCGAAAAACCTTCTCAAGAAATGAATGTTATAATGCAGCAGCTGTTTACGTAACCAAAGTTTTCACAAAGTCTGGCACAGGGGGTCACTATATAAACTAAATAAAGTTCTATCAGAACAATTATATTTCATCATAAAATTGGACTTAAAATATAGAAAATTTAAAAAGATAGAAGTATCAAAGCTTATAAGTATTGATATAGATTACTAAGTCATCTGAAATGATACCGTCTATTAATGTTATTACGCGTGGTAATCCCCTCTATTACTTGCACACGCACTTATTAAATAGCTGGCACCTACAAGTAGGACAGACAGATTTAAGGCTAGGAACATATGGGTAAGACTCGTGAAATTGGCTACAAATTGTTATATTATTTTTTCCCTTTCTATAGTGAAATAAAAACAATGTATGACATGTTTTCTCTCTTCCATAGCATGTACCTTCCATGGTATAACATGTATAAATAGTTTAAAATAATATTTAATTATATATTTCCGTAATTTTACAGTATTAGATGACGCTGATATAGAAATGGCTGTTAAATCAGCTGTATTTTCTTGTATAGGGACTGCCGGTCAACGCTGTACTAGTACAAGAAGAATAATATTACATCGTAAAATTGAGAAACAATTTACAGGTAAGATTTATTTTTAATGATAGATTATGAGCTTATTTTTATTTAGACAAGTATTTTTAATTCTTTATTTAATATGAAATCGAATATACAAACTGATGCCCTTTTATATATTATTGCTACATTTATCAATAACTAAAAATATGAAAGTCAAACAAAAGTGAAACATTTTACTTTTCAAAAAAGTCCCCGTTTGATCTCCTACTATTATTACGATTATAGAATTCATAATATAACATTATCTAATAGAATCAATACTTCATTAGTTAGTTTAGTTAGTTTATTTATTTACAACTTATATGTTACATTTGGTTTTCATTTCTTACATTACTATTTGTGTCTCGTATCCAGTTTGTGTAGTTGATAATGTATGTGCTTTATGTGTGTGGATGTGTGTGTGTGTGTGCGTGCGTGTGTGTGTGTATGTGTGTGTGTGTCTTGTGTATATATGTACATATGTAGGTGTGTCTGCAACTCTTGCGTCTCTGTCTTCTGCGCCTGTACTTTCAGATTTTCTTCCCATGTTTTCTATTGATTAATCTTCTCTTCCTCTCTCTCTCCGAAATCTGCCTTTTCCGCTCTTCTGTTTTTCTCTTTCTTGCATATTTTCTTTTCAACTTTTTCCTTTGCCTTTTTTTACTTTCTTTTGCCTTTTCACCTTTGCCTTTCCTTTGCTTTTGCTCTCATTCTTGCTAATCATTCCATCTATCTTTCTCCTTATTAGGGCTTTGACACCTTTTTCTTATTTCCTATTGCTCCCTCCGCCTTTCCTTTCCTCAACCTCATTTATTTTCTTTAGTATCTTATAATTTGTCTTTTTGTTTTCCTTTTTCTTATCTTCTTCGATTTTTCTTCTTTTCCATTTTGCTCCTGCATCCAATCCTGTTTCCTCTAGCTTGTGTAGTTGCTAGTACTTGTGTTTTGTGTGTGTGTGTGTACGAGGTGTGATCAAAAAGTAAGATGATCGGCGTTCGCGTTTCTACCTCACGATGTAGACTTTTAGCCTGCTGCGGTTCGCGGCCAAAATTTAAGAACGCCGGCGAGACTTTTGTGCTCGCTTGTATCGTCGTATTCAGCGCCTGCCTGAATTCATGCAAATACTTATCCCAATTCCTGTGATCATGATCGACGAACATCGCCACCATCAGCTTCAGCGTCTTAATCGCTCGCTCGGTGAAATTCGCCTGCTGATGGTACGGTGGACAAAGTACGTGCTCAATCTTGTACTCGTCTAGCGTCGCTTGAAACTCATTCCCACAGAAATTCTTACCATTATCCGTGATAATACGAGTACTATTGTTAATGATCTCTTTTTAGTGGCTGTAATATAATGATTAGATATATCAAATACTGTTGAGATGCAAATAATTTAACAAACAACGTTTTACGATGTATTATCAGAATATACATAGCAAGAAAAGGTCATTTTAATGTTTATTGATTTTAACTATATATGAGAATCTTATTTCTTAGTAATTTTACACTGCCTGACTATTATCAAACTACTAAAATGCAATCGACTCATCGACAATAGATATCAGAGACCCGTGTTTTTGTTGAGTAATACGAACTGCTAACTAATAAATTGTGAAACAATCATAACAAAATAAAAAATTCTTTTAATAAAACGTACAATGTAAAAATGCACATTATAATTTTCGAAAATTACTGTATTGTAACACTGTAATTAGCAAGAAACCGCAAAGCCAACTACATAAACCGGATCTATATTTATTTCTCACATGAGCATAATATTATTTGCAACTTAGCTCTTATGCTATCTTTACCCTTGTCCAAGAGTTTCCTCAACAGCCTGTAATAAAAAAAATTATTAAAATTTTAATTTTACACTGAAAAATTAACAGAATAAGTATCAAATTAGTAATTTACTTAATTTCATTCCTTATAAAATGAAAATAAGCAAATCTATTTAAGTCTATACACTCCGCATTTTTAGTCGTAGCATCATAAAGTTAATTAACAATACTATTTTATTGTCCATTATCGTTATTGTAAAGAGCAAGGTGAAAGGGAGTCATGTAATAATCGTTGTTACTGTCAACATTGCTCCATTTTTCAACAGTTTTCTTTACATTTACTTTCAACAACAAAATGCAACGGATTATACAAAGACAAAGGACAGCATCTCTACTGATAAGGAGGTTTGCGTCTGTACCATTGTTGATAAGAGTTTCAACAATTTCTGGATCATCTCAAACAAGTTGTTGTAGTAGTTGTTGAAAAATTGTTAAATGACTTTAGTGACCACTTTCAATACAAATATTCTCTGTAGATAGAATGTGAACCATTGTTGAAAAAAATTTAGTTTCTGATATGGCAACTTAAGTGCAGTTTATTATCTTTGGTATACTTGTAATAACTGGCTTTCATGAGAATTGTTATACCTTCTAACGATACAAATTCTAATGAAAAATTGTTTGCAATTGAAAAATAAAATTTAGTTACTATAGATTTAAATCTATAGTAATAATCTATAGTATTTTAATCTATGGCTAATGGAGTATAAAAGTACAATGATCGTTTATAATTCTCAAACCAAACATGTAATGCGGTACATTACAAAGATTTGCCTGAGAGTGTTGCATTATTTGCAACACCTCAGGAAAGCCACCTCCGTCCTTTGCCGCCCCGTAACCAGCCGTATAATATTAACCTATGCGCGTCCTAATTCATACATTAATTATTTTCCATATCCGTCCACCCCAACCTGAGAAAATGATGTAACAAGTTGGAAATCGCGATCCGACGGATGAGCGAAAAATGGAGCGCAATAAGAGAAAAAGAGCGCACGCACACACACACACTCCCGACCACGTGTTGCCGGCTGGAAGAAAACACACGGGAAACCTGAATGAAAAATGCAACGAAAATGGATGTGAGCGAAACCTGCGGATACGTTACACTTCCCAACACTGACACAAACACTTTGGAGATGATAGCACACCTGGGGCAAACAGAAAATCGTCGATGAAGCAGCAGCCGGTAGTCAACTGTGTCAGGCTGCTGCGCACCATCGGCGACATCCTGAGCGCCACACACACTGACACTGCGGCCGATCACTGTTAACACCCGGAAACACACACACAACACCCAGACACATACGAGTATCACACAATCGAAGGGGAGCGCTCCAGGAGGCGCTTCGAAAACCGGCAATAGAGCATGAGGTTGACACGCGGGAGCGAAGGCGGCAATCTAGAAGAGCGGTACAGACTGAACGAGAGCGAGCGAGACAGACTGGACGAGAGCGAGCGAGACAGACTGGACGAGAGCGAGCGAGACAGACCACATGAAGCAAACGAACTAAAATAAGTATTATATAGATTCAAATGTAAATGTAATGATGAGGGCGCTACGAAAATAAGACCGACATACAATTATATTATTACTACAAATAATTTAGCGATACGATTTATAAATGTAACATAATGAAATATAAAATTAAAAATACTTGTATTCGGCCGCTATCACCCTTTAAATATTAATAAGCAACAAGCCACCTGCCAAATTGAATTAAATTAATAACTGCAACGATTGCCGAAAATCGTTATGCCTCGTGCGGACCGTCAAGCGTGGCTAAGCGTAATAGCCGTGATCGGCTTAGGTTAGAGAGAGAGAGAGGGCGCGCGTTAGGGGCAACGACCGGGAGGGGAGAGCTAGCGAGTCAGTATGACCGTGTTCATCAGTCTGGCGATATCATTGTTTTCCCTTGCGAAGTGACATCGTTGTACAGCCGTGCCGAGTGACTTACAGAGGAGATAAATAGATAATCTGTGCTGAGTGTGGTGAGATGAGTGCGCGCACTGTACAACGTGTGTGGCAGCTGCAACCACAATCTCAGCAGCATCCGCTGCGTAGCTCAACAACAGCAACAAAAGCCGGTTGCAGAGGCAGCTCGTTGCTCGCGTAAGCGGATACGGTTGGCCACCGTATCCTCATCAGAGCTGCGGTAAGCGCGCTGCACTTTTGAGTTTGTTTTGGGTGCGATCCCGCGCAGCGTGCGCGGTGAGTTTTGTAGACATCGTCGTGCGTTTGATTAGTCCGCGACGTCAGCGAAATTAACTCTCTCTCTCCCCGTTAGGTTTATTTTGTATATACCGCGTGCGTCCACGACTCTCGGCAAATCATCCCGTGTATCGGATTTACCTCGTCCAATAAAGTGGTTAACTAATAATAAGAGACGATCTTATTATTTCGTATCACCTTGCCCGGTGTCGGTGTTTATATTTACGTTTTGATTCGAACGCGCCGAGAATTCAACAAAGGTCACGAATACAATAGATAGACCTGTTCGTCAATCGAGTTGTCTGCTGCGGCCGACGGAGCGCTGGTAAGCAAGCGCACCAGCGCCTCTAGCGGGTAGTTCGAGCATCGAAGTTGGATTGCTACGAGGACTCGGCGCATGCGCACACCGGCGTAAGGTGAGTCAGTGCGCTCGAAGCACACAGATAACAGAGCACCGGTTGGCCATTGCGGTAATTATAATTGCCTGGGATTTGCGACTAACGGTAGCCTGTTACATAACATAAAATCGACATACAACTATTGTATCAATGTAAAATATCTAGCGATGCGATTTAGAATATGAAACATACTAAAATAGAAATTAGAAAATACTTGTATATGGCCGTTACAATCTCTTAAGTGTAGTAATAAGCGACAAACAATCTGACAAATTCAATTGATAATTGATTAATGAAATTCGAAACTCCGACGAAACTCGCTGGTTACGTAACGACCAATAAGCGAATTAGAATAAAATTTGATTTCCGTCCGCATCGAAAAATAAATAAAAGTAGGGGTTGATCTTTCTCATCAATCAATGCTAGCCGACTTAGTAGGGAGTGAAAGAGGGTAAATAGCGACGAAAGTAGGAGATAAAAAGAGGGCGCTGTACTTTTCTAATTTACATATGGACCAATGATGAAATATTTGGAGGGCGCTACTGATATCCGACTTAGCATATCAGCCAATAATAGGAT